AAAAAGGTCGTTGGAAGTGAGAGTTCGGCTTCAGAGGTTAGGGGCCAGGAATTTAAAGCTTCAAAACCTCTCTCAAAGGTTAGGGGTCATCATTTTAGACCGATTTTTTTCTAGGCCCAGACCCCACGTGAAAGTACTGAGGGATCTTGAAATCATGTCCAATCTAAGGCAACTAAGTTTGATTTCGCCAAGCAACGACGCTTCGTATAGTTTGCATATCATCGCTCCGAGCGGAACGAAAAAAAACATCCAAGCTGTATGGTTGGATGCTGCTTGTTTTACGAGACAATGACCAAATTTAGACGGCAACTGGCTGCACACCATGTCAAGCCATCAACCCCCAGGAAATCAATGACCTTCGGCAAACTTAGCCCCGACAAATCGAGAATGTTTGTGCTCTCAAGCCCGAACTGGAACCCCCCCCTCCCCCGGAAAAAAAAACTAAGCTTTCTGAGTCCGGACTCGCGGTCCACATGCTCGAACTCGAGTTCGAACTGGCGGTGACACAGTTCGAACTCGCGTTCGAACTCGCCCCAGAGCAGTTCGAACTCGATTTTGACCTGGCGGCGTCCGCGTCGAACTCGAACTCGAACTCGGACCCCCACCACACGGAGGAAAAAAAAAACCTTTCCGAGTATGCATTCACGGTCAAGCTCTGAAAGACTGCGAGCTGTCAGCCGGGAAGTCAGGTGCCAGGAATTAATTTTTTCCCGTATCAGATTGAGGGGGGGAGATATGGCATGTTACCAACGCAAGCATCCAGGAAATAATTTTCGTACTTGGCTATCAGAGGGGTAAATTTATTGGATGTTGGACGTTGGGCACCAGGAAATTAGCAAAACAAATTCAAAAAGGTCGTTGGAAGTGAGAGTTCGGCTTCAGAGGTTAGGGGCCAGGAATTTAAAGCTTCAAAACCTGTCGGAGAAAAAAAAACCTTTCCGAGTATGCATTCACGGTCAAGCTCTGAAAGACTGCGAGCTGTCAGCCGGGAAGTTAGGTGCCAGGAATTACTTTTTTTCCGTATCAGATTGAGGGGGGGAGATATGGCATGTTACCAACGCAAGCATCCAGGAAATAATTTTCTTACTTGGCTATCAGAGGGGTAAATTTATTGGATGTTGGACGTTGGGCACCAGGAAATTAGCAAAACAAATTCAAAAAGGTGGTTGGAAGTGAGAGTTCGGCTTCAGAGGTTAGGGGCCAGGAATTTAAAGCTCCAAAACCTCTCTCAAAGGTTAGGGGTCATCATTTTAGACCGATTTTTTTCTAGGCCCAGACCCCACGTTAAAGTACTGAGGGATCTTGAAATCATGTCCAATCTAAGGCAACTAAGTTTCATTTCGCCAAGTAACGACGCTTCGTATAGTTTGCATATCATCGCTCCGAGCGGAACGAAAAAAAAACATCCAAGCTGTATGGTTGGATGCTGCTTGTTTTACGAGACAATGACCAAATTTAGACGGCAACTGGCTGCACACCATGTCAAGCCATCAACCCCCAGGAAATCAATGACCTTCGGCAAACTTAGCCCCGACAAATCGAGAATGTTTGTGCTCTCAAGCCCGAACTGGAACCCCCCCCCTCCCCCGGAAAAAAAAACCAAGCTTTCTGAGTCCGGACTCGCGGTCCATGCTCGAACTCGAGTTCGAACTGGCGGTGACACAGTTCGAACTCGCGTTCGAACTCGCCCCAGAGCAGTTCGAACTCGATTTTGACCTGGCGGCGGCCGCGTCGAACTCGAACTCGAACTCGACCCCCCCCCCCGGAGAGAAAAAAACAACCTTTCCGAGTATGCATTCACGGTCAAGCTCTGAAAGACTGCGAGCTGTCAGCCGGGAAGTCAGGTGCCAGGAATTAATTTTTTTCCGTATCAGATTGAGGGGGGAGATATGGCATGTTACCAACGCAAGCATCCAGGAAATAATTTTCGTACTTGGCTATCAGAGGGGTAAATTTATTGGATGTTGGACGTTGGGCACCAGGAAATTAGCAAAACAAATTCAAAAAGGTCGTTGGAAGTGAGAGTTCGGCTTCAGAGGTTAGGGGCCAGGAATTTAAAGCTTCAAAACCTCTCGGAGGAAAAAAAAAACCTTTCCGAGTATGCATTCACGGTCAAGCTCTGAAA